AAACAGAATTGTGGCAATCAATCAACGCTGACACTGACTGATCACTGATGTGTCGTCCTATTGACAGTTACTTAATGTACAGTTCTGCACTGTTGCTCTGCTTACGCTAATCAATCGACGCTGCAAGTCGAATGTTTCAGATCCAGCATTCTCCCAGCGCTATAGCACAAAGCACAGTATTGTGAAACCAAGAAATGAAATAAAAATGACAGGGCACATCAGTGGGCAACACATTTTCTGATGCTAGACTAGACTCCAGCCTCTGCCGGGCTGCTTTCAGCTAGAGTAGGATGATAGCTCTGCCTGCAGGACGAGACGTTTCCGCGGCGATTTTTCCACCTTCCACTGGAGTTTGACGTTGAAGCGATCGCTTTCCGTGGTGCTCATTTCCTGGCTGAATGCTTTGCCCCGGGTGGAAACTGGAGAGTGCCGCTGGCTGTTCCAAGTGAGCGATGACGCCCATGGCTCTGCTGATTGGCCGTTCACTTGGGCGAGGGAGGGACGCAAGCAAGCAACATGATATATTATGTTGATAGCTCTCCTATCTATGGTTTTGGGTAATAGTAATACTAGTTCGAGTTTGTTTGGGAGTAGAAAGACTAGAGCTGGTGACCCTGCCTCAAAGTCCAAGGTCAAGTCATTGCTTGTGGAGTTGTTGGTCCCTCTCTTGACCGGACGACTGTGATGAAGCACCGTCAGTGTATAGCTAGGGACTAGTTTACTTGGATGATAGGGTTATTTTGTGTTGCCCAAAAGGAAACTCAAGTTCAGTCCCACACACTACGTACCCCAGCTGGCACCTAGCAAATGTCTCTGCTGGACATTTTAAATTTGTTGATACAAGTCTTGCTGCCAATCATGTAAACAGTCTTTCTCGAAAGATAACGTAGTTGTAACCAGTCAGAGAGCGCGGGCGCGGCTCATGATGCTTTGCGTAAATTAAATTAAATTAAACTAGGTGCCTAGCGGCCATGGCCTTGTTATAGTTAATCTGATCAACTGATCGAGCTCCCGGTCGCCTAGTTAATCCCCATCCACTTCGTTGTTTATCCATGCTATATAGTGGAGTACATGGGGTTCCTTTTCATCGGGGTGACGTGTCGGGCGACTGAGAATACGTTGACATGCCGGCTTACCTACTGGCTGGCTGTCTGGCTCCACTTCCCCGGGCGAGCAAGAGCAATCACAATTCATACGACGCACTTGAACTCGACTGATCACCTGATCGCGCGCGTATCCTCCGTGGTGGTGCCATGGTGGCGACGCCATTGCTTCTGCAGAGAGCCTGCGGAGAGTCAATGTCCTAGTGTGCGTGTGTGCGTGCGTGCGTCCGGAGCACTAGCTGCAGTGCCGCGTGTTTGTTCGTTTTGTTGTGGTTGGTTTGGTTGGGTCGCCTTTTGATTCAGCTAAGCTTATCCGTGACCACGACGAGCTGTTCTGCGGGCGTGATCCTCATATTATCCAGGGGAGTAACTTCAGTGGTAATATAAAATCTAACTCAACAAATTTGCTTATATGACAATGATTTAATGAGGAGACAGATAAATTGAGTAACATACAGCTAGTTACTGAGTAACATCACACATACCATGACAAAATGAGTTTACAAGCTAATAAATGACACCACACATACGTTACTCGTCACTATAAAGACAATAATATAGACTAGTAACATATGCATGTTAATAGTCGAAGTTACTCCCCACCATGAGTAGTACTATCAGAGATGATCCACGGCCGGCCGGACATGCATGATCCCGCAGCCGGACCATCTGCATGGATGTCCCACCTTTCACGTACCACTTTACCAGCGCGCGGCTTGCCCTTGGTTGCGGGCATAAGGCCAAGCAGAAAATAATTTTTTGTTTCAAAGAGAGCAGAAAATAAAACGCAACCTTTTGGGCTACTATAATTGTTTTGTTTTCTTGGGACATCCCCAACGCTGACCCGCAAACCGCTCACCACATCCACCAGCGGACCCTGATGCGAGAGACAACCATCCAAAAGCTATCTGCATATATTTCAAGCAGGGTTTGAACTAACAGGACGAATTACATGCAAACCGGATAATTTTCATACAAACCGGATGAAAACATTGAAATTTCAGACATATTTTAACTAAACTATATTGAACTAGGCTAAAACTAGTCTAACGCCGGCCGCGGCGGATCTCCAATCCCACGACATGTCTTCCATATGTTTGGCAACCCGCTCATAGGACCGCCATGAGCCCCAAAGGGATATACTTCAGCGGGAGGGGAAGAGTAGACTCCTTCTGCCGCTGTGAGGCACGGATCAGAGTTGGTTTTTGGGGCGGGGAAGACGGTGGTCGTGGCCTATGCCCCCGCGAAGCGGGCAAGTCACCGGCTTTGCAAACCGACGAGGCGGTTGTGGTGGCCTTCGTGGGGCCCAAGCGGTGGCGCCCTCCTATATTCTACTTTTTCTCGTTGTCGGCGGCGGCCGCGGACATGCCGCCTTCGTCGTCGTGGCGCTGGGGCATGACCAACGCGTTGTTGGTGACGTCGTCATCGGTGCCCCAGTCAAATCCCTCCGCCGCCGCGTCAATGTCCACGAACGTGGCTTCTTTATCCGCTTGCCGGACGCGTTGCCGACATCGCTCGTGGCGGATTTACCGGGAGACGGCGTTGGCTAGCCTGGGCGAGCGAGGGCGGCCTGGAGATGGTGGTGGCACCCGCCCTAGAGGGTTTGCCGGCAAGCCAACCTGTATCCTGCTGGCTCACTGGGCAACCCAACCGGCTGCAATGCCGGCGATGTCCTTCTTTTGCTCGGACGAGAGGCTGTCCCAGAGGGATGTGGAGCTCGAGGAGGCTATGGTGGGTGTGGTGCAAGGAGGAGATGGAGGGCGGAGGTGTGGTGTGGTTCTTGCCCGACACCTGGCCATGCTTAAATAGCGGGTGGATGCGAGGCGTCAACTGGAGAGGAGTTTAATGTCGGCCGACAGAGGGATGGATGCGTGGCGCTCGGGGCGCCGGAATAGGTTCGTCGGTACACGTTGTGGGCAGACGAATGCCCTTCCAATGCCCGTCACCTGCCTCTAGCACCATCATAGCAGCCATAAAAAATGGATTACCTCCTCACTCGAGCTTGATGCGGCTCCATCACCGCGGCTCACCAAAGGTGAAACCATCACTATTGAACAAATCAGACCAGGCAAGACCCTGGACACGACATCAATCTCCAGATCTGACACCCTCGCACGATTAAGACATCGGAGGAGGAAACCACACCTGCCATCCACGAACCACGAGCCCAGCACACGATCCACCATCTTTCAGATGCCGTTGGTGCAGACCATAATCTGCATCCGCTCCTGGACTAACTCCAAGCTCCAAGCCGGCGCTGAAGCAAACATCGTCGCAATGACGAAGCCCAAGGACACAAATCAACCGCAAGGATGCTGCCACCACACCATCCTTGATTGAACGGGCCGGGCTTCAAAAACCATCCCCAATCATAAAGTCGATTGCTTTGTTGGAAAAGAATTTGAAAAATCTTTATTTTAACGCCGCCATCGCCGAAGGCAAAGCCAAGACGATGAACAGCCTAAAAACTAAGTTACTTCAAATTAAAACTATTCACACGTCTGGATCCGTCGACCCTCCTCATCACCGACGCTCGGTGGTCGTCGGTGGAGGGGAGCCGTGGAAGGGCGACCGCGGAGGAGCTCTTGGCGAGATGCCGAGACGAGGTCTTTTTTTTGCTGGATGATCAAATGAAGTTACCACCACAGTATGTGTACGGGAGTACTCGTCTCTGAACCAGGCACAGTTGGACGGTTCTCACCCGTTGACGTCGCTGGCCCCACCAGCACAGAGGTACTGCGCATCGGCGAATCTGGAACCGCTGCTGGCTTCACAAACGACCGGAGCCGGCCGGCCGGCCCGTGACCCCTCTGCCTGAACCGGCCGCGCGTGACGGCTGACCTGTCAGCTCAGGTCAGCCACAGGCCACGGACCGCGTCGCACGCACGCGCGGGGCCGCACGTGTCCCGCTGTGTCGCCACGGGCGAGCCAGATCAGACGACTCTTCATCCTGGGACGACGCGGAGTGGCGGGCCCCCCGCCCCCGCCTGCCGTGCCGGAGACGGCTGCCTGGCCGACCAGGCAGGGCATGCGGCTGGCTACTCCGGCCGGCCGGACGGC